GCAGCTCTGCAGTGCACTGGGGGTCCCAGCCTGGAGCACCCTCCTGCACCCCAAACCCCTCATCCCCAGCCCCACCCCAGAGCCCTCACCCCCTCCCGCATCCCAACCCACTGCCTTAGCCCGGAGCCCCCTCCCGCACCCTGACCGCCTCATTTCTGGCCCTACCCCGGAGCCCGCACCCCCAGCCAGAGCCCTCACCCCCTCCCACACCTCAGCCCCCTGAGCCAGCCCTGTGAAAATGAGCGAGTGAGTGAGGGTCGGGAGAGTGAGCAACAGAGGGAGGGAGGGATGAAGTGAGCAGTAGGTGGGGCCTCAGAGAAGGGCCTGGGCAGGGGCGGGGCCTAAGAGGAGGAGCAGGGCAGGGGGCGGGGCAAGGGCATTCGGTTTTGTACGAGTAGAAAGTTGGCATCACTAGCTGAGTGCTCTGGTGGGGAGGGGGCTCCGTACCTCCCTGGGCACGAGTACCAGGCCCCCTCTCCTGCTCCGGCGCCAGCCCCGCATCTGAACACTCAATGTACTTCTCCCTGTGGAGAGAGGAGACACGTGAGTTCTTAGGGGCAGGGGCATTAGCTACTGTCTGTCTGTACAGCCCCACGTGCCAGGGAGCCCCCACCCCGGTCTGTATGCCAACCCCTCATCCTGGCCCTTACAGCCCCACATGCAAGGGAGTCCCCCACCCCGGTCGGTATGGCCCCCCTGCCTTGGCCCTGCTCTGTACAGTCCCACACGCAAGGGAGCCCACCGTCCTGGACTGTATGCCCCCCCCCACCCCAGCCCCGGTCTGTACAGAACCATGCGCAGGGGGCTCCCAGTCCTGATAGCCCCATGCAAGGGCCCCTTCACCCTGGCCCGTATGGCCCCCTGCCCCAATCCCAGTCTGTACGGTCCCACCTAGTCTGAACAGCCATGAGGGCAATGGGGCCGCAGCCCAGCTCGCCTGATATAATGATCTAATAACCAAAGGTGAGAAGGGGTGTTCAGAGCACAGAGCTTGGACCCCTCCCTCTCTCCTCTCCCCTGGGGTGTTACAGGCTCAGATTACTAGAGCAGGGTGTCCAGGAACCCACAAATCCTGCTGGGGTCCAGGTCGCTGACTGGTTCTCCTGCCTTTTAGTCTCGCCTTGGGGCCGTTTACGGGGCTGGACTGAGATGGAAGCGGCTCTCCCCAGGGGTTCCCCCAGGTGTTGTCCCAATTGCCCCCCCTTTCCCTTCAGTGGCACAGGCTCGAGGCCTGCACACCCTGTGCTGGGGAGATCGCGTGGGCTCAGTGACAGAACCAGCATTTCCCACTAGCACTCCCGTCACTGCTCACGCTGCCCCGATGGGAGACCGCCCAAGACCCTGCATGCAGGCAGGGGAGACACCGGGCAGACGCGCCCCCAGAAACGATGGTCAACACCCATGACCTGTGACAGCATCTGCAAGGACCCCACTGTGCTAGGTGCAAACACCGAACAGAAGGATGGTCCCTGCCCTGAAAAGCCTGCGAGCTACCGACGGACGGAGCCTCTGTGCTCCAGAACCCTCCAAAAGAGGAGCAGGTGCAAGGCCTAGCACATCTGTCAGGGTCTCCTCAGGTGCGCCCACCACCAAAGCGTCCTGACTTGCTCCAAGCAGGGTTAGACAACACGACACTGAGAGCTCCTGAGCTCTGGCTACACTACGGTTTCCACCTTGCTGCCAGCACTAATGGGCAGTTAGGGCTCCTAATTTCCCTAGTGTAGACAAGGCCCCCCCCTGCAACGGCACAGCATGCCCCCATCTGATGCTATGGGTAGGAGCTCCGGTGGAGGGCAACATCCCTGCAGGTCAGGACTGGAGGGAACCTTCCTCCCCAGCCCCAGAGGGAGGGAGCAGTTGGGGAGGAATCCCAAGATCCCGTGTGGGGTGCAGGGGATCCCCCCAGTCCAAGGAGCCTCTTGGGCCATGGGAGGAAGACCCGTAACCCTCCTTAAGCTGCTGACTATATAAGGGCTTTCTCAAGGGTAACACTTTAGGGAGGGGAGACCTCTGGTGGTGGGAACTGGGAAGCCAGGCAAGGTGAAGCCAGAGGCTGCACTCCAGTCCAGCTCACGCCCTATTTGGAGGTTGGTGCTGCCCCCTACTGGGGGTGGAAGAGGATGGGGGGGACAAGTGTTTGAGCAGGGGCTGCTCCCAGTAGAAAGTGGTGACCGCTGCAGGCTGAGATAACTGGGCTAATGATCAATGCCAGCTGCAACCGAAACCCTCCTCCCCGGGAGGCGGGGCAGGGGCTCCCCCCAGCAGCTCGGCAGAGAGATGTGGGGAAGGAGAATGGGATGGCAGTTAATAGCCCTGCAAGGGGGGGCATCTGAAACCAGCCCCATCCCCTCAGAACCACCCCAGCTCCCCCCCCCTGCCCTGAACCCCAGGATTAGAACTCAGCGCCCTTCCCTGGGGCCCCGATCCTGCCCAGACATGGAGTAGCCCCTGCTCTGGTGCCCAAGCTCTCCTCCCTGCCCCAGGCTCTATGGCTTCCCTACTCATCATGGCAAGTCCCCCCACCATGCCAGCCACAGGGTGACCACTGCCCCCGCCATGCACAACCCCTGGCCATGGCCCTGCCCCCGCCGGCATTACCTGCCCTCGCCCCGCAGCTGCACTGACCTGAGCTTGTCTCTCGCCAGCAAGAGCTGCCCGTACACCATCTGGGTCTCGGCATCCGGGTCGAGGGGGTCGCTCCAGTCCCCCAGGGTCATGGCAGAGTGAGTCCGGCTGCAGCCGCGCACTGGGGGCAGGACAGAGAGGACTGTTCCAACGAGCCCCAAGGCGCGGGCAGGAGGGGCTGCCATGCAGGGTACGGGGTGGGCCAGGGGCCCTGCCTGCAAGGGTCTAGGAGCAGAGCGGGTTGCTCCTGACTAGCCAATCAGCCTCCAGTGAAGCCCTCTCCCCCATCTCCCCCAAGGCCATGGGTGAGGGAGATCCATCCTCCCAGCCAGTGGGGACTGGTCAGGGCTCCCGCCAGGGCCCACTACTACTGCTCTGCCACCAGGCCACTGGGTTAACAGCTGCTTGGGGCAGATGTGTGGCCTTTGCTACCCTCCCCCAGCCCCAGGGGCTGCGCCAGTGCGGTCTAGTGGATCGAGCACTTGAGTGGAGCTTGGGAGACCTGGGTTCTGTTCCCAGCCCCTGCTGGGTGACCTTGGGCAAGTCACTCCCCTGCTCTGTACCTCAGTTTCTCATCTGTGCAATGGGGGTAATGCTAGTGCTGTCCTGTGTGAAGTACTTTGAGCTGTACAGGTGCAATGTGCTGGGTGTTATAGGGGGAAGGGGCCTGGAGCTCCCGACCCTTATCCAGCTCCACCTATCCCCAAGCGGAGAAGCAGCAGCATCGAGAGGTCTCTGGGGCGAAAAAGCCCCTTCCCTTGCCAAAGCCCAGTGGGCTGAATTTGCAGCAGCCCTGGAGCTGGCAGGGGCCAGTTACCTGTGCGGTCGGGCTGCAGGCAGCAGGTCCAGCGGTTGCCCCGGAAGGCACCCGGGTGGCAAGAGGGCAGCATGTGCTCATTGCAGATGCTGGCCTTGCGGATGGCTGACAGCCACTGGTTCAACTCGTTCACATTCTGCTGGAGACAGGAGAGTCTCAGCCAGGAAGGATGGTGCCGCTTCCCCTCCCCAGCCCCCAGGGATACAACCCAGACCCCCAGGGTTCTAGTCCTGGCTCCGGCCCGCTGGGGGACCTTGGGCAAGTCCCTCCTCCTTTGGTGCCTCAGTTTCCCCATCTACACCTCAGCACAAACTGTTCCAGGCTGCAGTGTGATCCATGGATTGGATGCGACTCATCCAGATTTTCACCCCCCCTTCTTTTCTCATGTCATGGCCAGCCAGAATCCCGCCCCCCCTCCCTCCCTGCAGCTTGGCAATGGCCCCGTTAAAGCAACGGAACAGTCCCTCTGCTGCCCCCGCCCAACAAGTCCAACCTGGCAGCTGGGTGGTACTGCCCAGGGCTCCAAATCCCAGGGGCCCACTGACACCGCGGTCGCACCAGGAGCCACCATGGGTTGAACTAAAGCATGAAGGCCCCCAAGTGGGGGTCCTGGCAGACCCTGTCCTCCCAGAGCTGGCCCAGAGGTGCACACTGGGCAGCAGGTGGCGCTGGCTCAGCAGACTGGTGACCACGCTGCCAGGGCCCCGCTGCACTGGGCCCCCTCCCTGGTGGGAACTCGCCTTGCACTGGATGTACATGGTGCGCAGCTGCCCTTCGTTGTCCTGCGTTATGATCTGCATCATGTGTGGCTGCTGGAAGGCGTTTTCGTCCACCCTCTCCACGGCGCAGATCCGCTGGATGGGGATGGAGGAGCGAACCTGCACGAAGAAACAGTGGGGAGCTCAGGGCTGGTAGAGTGGGGGGAGGGCCAATGGGATTGAGGGGCATAAGCAGAGCTGGAGGGAGGGGGAGCCCAGGGCTGGCATAGCAGCAGGGGGTGGGATTGACGGGGGCCGGCAGAGCTGGGGGAAGGGGGAGCCCAGGGCTGGCGTAG